TGATCGATCCGTTAAGAAACGTTTCGTATTGATCTATTATGAGACTACTTAACAGATCAATGAAGTGGCAGACCGGTGGGTATATAAACTGATGTTTTTTACAATTATGGACGGAAGATCGTCCTGGTCTCGCATAAGATAGTAACGTCTAGCCTTCTTGTAAATAGAAGCCGATCTTGTTTCATAAAATTTGATAATTTTATATTGATGTACATATGATTGTAATATTTTTGGTTTAGTTGAGATGACTGATACACAATCGGCGAGTAATGTGGGTGCCTGTTGGCGATTTTTTTGTGACAAATCGACCACCAGGAAGTCAAGCGAGTGGTAGTCTGATGGACTACATTTTGTCCGATAGAAGAAGGCAGACAGTGGGACCCACCGGGTACGGCCTTCATAGTACTGGTCGTACAACCTCAGGCGAGAATGGAACCGGCTACCCGACTGCATCGGCACAATCCACTGGTTCGTTCAAAACCAGTTGCGACTGGAGCTGGTAGCAGGAGGACGGTATTCCGGAGAGAACGCCGGGAAAGATTGAGGGCCCATCGTCCTGAGGCACCACCACCAGCAACAACACCGACGGTGTTGGCACAAACTAGCGACGACCAAGGCCAAAACAGCAACATCGAAGGAGAGAATGATGGGCCACCCAACACACCACAGCCAACCATCATCATTTACAACAACAATATGGGTGGCAACATCACAAATGGCCATCCTCAATTCGTCCGATGAGAAGTCTTGATGGAGACATGACGCCCATCAGACCAATGTCTCATTTTAGTTAGTTCACTAGATGTGGCCCTTCAGGCCCTCCAGTCCTTCTCTTCCTCTTCTTTTTAATTGTTTGAGTGGCCCATTCGGCCATCTAGTGTCAACCAGTATGTTTAATTAAAATTAGTTTTGAGTTCTAGCCTGCCATTAAAAATCCTTTTTTTTATTCTAGATTCTGATGACGTCAAGTAACAACTTGACAGAAACTAGCCAATAAAAAACAACAAGAAATTATTTTTTAATTTAATTTAAATAAAAAAAATTTTTTCCAGTTTGAGTTGAGTATTCTTTTCTTTTTTAGAATAATAGACTCATAGTTTGTCTTTTGAAAGTACATAACTATCTACTCTTTCTTTTCTTTTTTTTCGGAGAGGCAGAAATTCTCTCGTCAACATCTGGCGAACGTCGATTTGGGATACGAATTTTTCTTTCTGTGGGATGTCGAGCTGTAAGTTGCCCCGTGAAATGCAGAATTCAATGCGCAATCAGAATATTCAACTATGAGGTAGGTTTGGTGCGCAACAGAGGCAGGTGTTGTTTTCCAGAGGAAATCATGGATGAATTGCGCTGCGAAAGAGAAGGAAGAGAGATTTTTGCAAACTTTTCCATATAGGTCTGTAGGTGAGTGTCGGACGTGAAGTATTTGGTTGTGGAGGCATTTTGATTGTTCATTCTGAAGTGTTGGGTAGTTTTAGTTTTTGGATAGGGAAAGGAATATTGCTTGGGTAGAGAGTGGAGTGCGTTGATTGAGTGGAAGCGATCTGCAAGATCGCCGCTCATCGTTTTGTTACGTACTACTCTGGAGGTATTCCACTTGGGTTCTGAGAGGATCCTGAGATATTGGATATTTTGATGCCTGTTGTCTCAGGCGTTGATGTGTGATGAACACGGGAATATTATAAATGTTCGTCCCTATTGGCTTGGAACGGTTGATTTCGCTGTGTTACTGCGGCGCTGATTGTATGGCTAAATTGTGCAATTCCTTTGAAGTGTCAGGATAAATCATAAAAGTTATGATGGTGGGAGGTCGAAGGCTAAACAGCGATATTTCAATAGTCGCGAGAGTTTCTAGTATGACACGGGAACAAACAAGATCGTGTTGTCCTGCTGATGGATTACTCTCTCGTTGCTTTCACCTACGTGTCGCTTCGTTTGTAGCTGAGTTTTTTTCGTACACTATTTTCCGAATATCGATTCCTTGGTACTTGTTTTGTATTTGGTCAATATACACGGTTTTCACTGAGTTTTCATGTGCAACCGTGTTTTATCGAGTTTTGAGCGTTTTTCGAGAAAATGTTTTTTTGACCTTTGGCTTTTGAACCTTGACCCCGACCCTCAGCCCAACCCCCTGCCAACATCCGTCCTCAACCACCCTCCCAAACCGTGTTTTATGAAGTTTCGTCATTATCAATATAACTTGACCTGCGACCTGCGACAGACATACATACACACAAACGAATTTCAGTTTTTTGACCACTTTTTTTCGACATGACCCTCCTTACAGTCGAGGAAATAAGAAAAGTTCTTTGTTCATAATTTTATACCATAAAAGAATGCCCGTTATCTAGAAGAATAATATCATATTTGCAATATACGTCAGCTACTAATTGTCAAACAACGATTATAATTGGAATAGAAGTCATCCATTTTTGAAAACAAAACACTTCTCGGATCTAAATCCAACCAGTTTATATATTATGATTTTCTCTAAAATAATCATCTAATATATTTCTGTCGGATGTATAAAAACAATATAAATGGAAAAAATATAGTTGGTTCTTTCGTATCTTAGATTGTCGAGCAAATTTTTGCATGAACAACTGTGCTTATGAAGCATCTTATTATCATTCTACCGTCAGTCTTTTTTCGAAAACTTCTATTGATGAAGTCATTTATTCATATGCCCTCGAGCACATTTGCTACATCGTTAACCGTACTTACAAAAACTCTTGCTTTCCATCCATACACTCCTACACCGTTGACCGTCTTATTAAAAAAAACTCTTGTAACCTATTCATATATCAGTATTCCCAAAACGGTTAGTTCCAAAAACCCACGATCACCTACACAGTTTTTTCGTATATGTGATGTCTATAAATCCTTTATTTTTTTTACAATGTAGATGGTAACTGCTTAATACATCAATTATCTCTTATTTTCTGCAAATATTGATCGAAAAACGAGAATCCGTTAATGT